TAGTAAAGTGGATGAACTACGTCTTTGATGAGATATCTCCGGACGGTAAAGTCCTGCTCAACTTTCGTGACTTCCCGATTGCCATGTCAAAGTATCCCAAAAGGGCCCTCTTGATCGTCCGGTTCCTCTCTTCTCTTCCTAAAGGTCGTAGGATGTTTGGTCTCCTATTCGAGGATCCAATGGGCGAGTACCTACCAGAGGAACTGGAAGCATGGACGACCAGTGTGCGTAGGATAATGGTCTCCTGTGGTTGGCCTGAGGGTAGACTCTTGGTTCACATACATCAGAAGTGGGACCTCCAGACTGCGTCCCAGCTGGATTGTCTTGGAGCCGGAGCCGATGGCGTTTGGGCTAGCCTCTGTGAAGAGGGAGCGGCTCTTGGTCATGCCTCTTCAGCAGTGACGATGATGAATCTTGTTAGACTTGGCAACACAAAGATACTCCAAAAGTATAATTGTACTCAGCTTCGTAATGCAGCTATGGCTGTCACTAAACTAACAACTGGTAAGCCTCCTCATCCTAAACAGGTTGTTTATGGGGAAAGAGCGGTCGATTTGGTCCTCGGGTCTGCTGGAGTGGGCGACTTTGATCTTGCCGAGTTCTTTGGGGTTGAGACTCCAAACAGGATAACAACACTAGCTACGGTTGAGATGATAAAGGACAGATTGGTTAATCTTTTTGGAGACCATGAGCAATTCAACGATGAGTTGTGTAGCAAAATGAAAGAGCAAATGCTCCTTGATCTTCGCTCTGGTAAGAAGGAGGAGTATCACAGTCCAGCTGGTATTGCTCTCCTGTTTGATAAAGCAGGTGGCAAGATGACACCTGAAATGGGCAAAGTGGTAGCTAATCTTAACGACAATTTAGCTCATCATCAAGGCCTTATTGATGAGATAAGGAAAGAATGGGATCACTGGGATGATCAAGAAGAAGGCATTGACAAGGGAGATGGGATGCTTCTCTTTGACTCATTCTATCATGGCTTCATGGCCCCTTACTTTGGCTGCTATAGGTGTGATAGAACAAAGAAGGCAATGAAAGCCCTTGATATGGATCAGGATGGATATGTTGATTGGTACGAGTTTCTTGTGTATATCAAGTGGGCCTTGTGCCAATATCCAGAGACTACTGACCCTGATGTACTGCTGTCTATTGCATTTGAAGAGGGGCTCATTCCTGCTATGAGAGATGAAAAGATTATAAAGGAAAGGCTTTAATAGAAACTTCGTGATGTATACACTGAACTCTTTTGAAATTTCAGGACTCTAATATGTTTTTGTTATTCTTAATTATTTTTTCCTGTAAAACCTTTAACAACAGTAATAATTCTAGCAACAAGTCAATAACAAGCAATAAATATAACAATAATAGCAACATATTAAAAGGCAACAACCTTATCATCATGTGCAAGGATGTCCATAGTTAGGAATAGAGTTACGATGTTGGAGAGCAATTGGAAGCCGTTAAACTAGATGCAAGTAGGATTGAGTTTCTCCTGTTAAAAGTAAAGTACAACAATCTACGGCTTTTGATGACTCATGATGACTATTGGGAACAAAAAATGCACGTTGATTCACATTATTATTGATTCGACATAAACCTGATGGTTTTAGTGGAAACATCCATTGCTGCAAAACTTCTCAGAGAAATATTTCTAATTATTGTTTGCTTATTTTATTAATAATTCTATTTCACCGGTGTATTTTATGACTACTTGACACCCTTGCATTATACATGTTACAACATGTTAAATTCTATCATTATTAAATCTTAGAATTATTTTGTGTGTGTGTGGCTTTATTTTTAATTCGCATGCCAACAGTTTATTATCAAATTGAGATTTGCATTTAAGCAATTTAAGCATGTACATACATGCTCATATATTTACTATTATTTTGCTATTGGCGTGTGCCGTGTGTATAATTGTAGTGGATTTGTTATTATTGATGACCAGGCTGATTATTTTATATTAAATTCAAGTTTTAATGACTTACATATTTGTGCAATGGAATTTGGTTTGTGTTCCAATTAATATCATGAGTAGAATTTGTGTGTGGTTGTGTAGGATGCAATCAGCTATGAATATCATTACAGTTACTATAAAGCCTTAGGAGAAAAACTACTGCTGCCATTTCTACCACAACTTGAGGAGAAAGAAGAGATCATTAAGAAGGGACAAGGCTCTGGTCCAGTATGTCTGTAGTGGATATAGACTCAGAGGTTTCCACCATAGTCCAGCACATTGAGACAGTCCGAGTTCAAAAGAGAGAGAGGCTCAGAAACCTTGACTTCTTTTGTCTAGATAACTCCATCAGGGAGAGCACCGTGGGACAGCTACGCAGTCACACTCTACAGAACAAGATTGACATTCTGCATCAGGTGAGGAAGTGTGGCATCAAGGATATTGTTGTAGCCACTTTTGCTCATCTGACACGTGTCGATGATGATTTCGTGGAATATCTCCGGAAGGAAAAGGAGGATTTTAGTCACTTTTACTCATTCTCGGAAGTCAGTGAGGGATTTGTGAAAGGAACTGGCATCTACAACACAGAGAAAGTCCCTGTCGGTCTCCAGAAGAACAAGAAATACGGGCTCATTAATACGATATTTGAAGTCGATCTTGCCGATAGCTCCTGCAACTGGGACAAGTTTACCGTATCTGACATGTGCAGCCTC